GGCTGGAGGGGGCCGCGCGTTACCCGCGCGCTGGCCCCGCTGCGCAAGCCGGGGTCCCGTACGCACGGAGCGGCACCCATGTGCCCCCAGAGGCGCCCCTCGAAGTAATTTTGAGGCCTCTTTTTGGACGCTGAACTTTTTATTAGCTTTATTTTTTTGGCACAGAGTCGCAGCTGAGAAACGTTCTTTCAGAGCCCACGTTTCTCAGCTGCTCTATTTATGTTAAACTTATTACGGACTCCGTTAGCATTTCGGAGGGAGCTGCTGTTTTTTCGGTTAAGGAAAAATGCCCTCCCTGGAAGCTAAAAGCAGAAACATGGAAAATAATGGGATTCATACCGAGCAACTTCTCTGCCTGCTAGAAACCTTGTGCAGTCACGCTAATCCCACTAATGACCTCATGTGTGCTTCTTTTCTCCTCTGCAGGCTGCTGAAGAGCAGAAGACCCAAGCAGGTAAGCCCTGTTGCCTGTTCTTCCTATTACTTCCAAGGAAGCCAAAAAAAAAAAAAATCAACCTGCTTGTGGGTTTTTTTTTTTTTTTTTTTTGAGGAAAAAAAAATCTCTGTGCTGGCAAGCGTTATCCTAGGTCCTGCTACCAGCCAGCAGCATTTGTAGCTTCTGCAGAGTGATGTGGCATGGCTTTAATTTGCTTGTGATTTTTGAAAACAAAAGCAATAAAAGTTCAGAACTGCAGAGTGCTGAAACCACCCCAGGGGAAGATGTGGGAATTCAGTTGTGGGTCCCATACTTTCTTTTGCATCAGGGAGGAAATGCCTGCTCCATTTGGCCAGGGCAAGCCACTGTCATCAGGCGCTTTTGCTTCTGCATCGCAAGCGTTCAACCTTTTCTCTTAGCTGGAGCAAGTCTAATGTTGCGGCCCCTGCGCACTTCTGTTGGTGGCACTGCGTGCTGCCTGCCTGCCTCAAGAGACTGTGACTGGTGCTGTGCAAACTGGCCTAAATACGAAAGAAGATGGGATAGTGTAGACTTGGTGCCCATGATGGTCCTGAAATGAGAGCTCCGTGTCAGTGCCCGTGGCGTGCTTCATCTTGAATGTTAAATGTCTTTAACTGTTTTCAAAAGACGGGAAACCTCCTGTAATTGGCAACATGTGCATGCAAATTGAGCTCCGTAGGTCCGAGTTCTTTTAGAACACCAGGGAGCTTAGGGCTCCATGGCATGGAAGGGGCTCCTGGAGGATGCAGAAGCAGGCGTTATATCCCCCACGCTCTCTCCAAGAGCGTTAGCAGGAGCTTCAGCTTGCCCTTACCTGTTTCTTAGTTTAGCCCGTTATGAAAGAAGCGCTTCAGCAGTTTGGCCGAACTGGTAAGACTTGGAACTTGTGCCTGCAAGGAGCCGCAGCAGTGAAAAAGGATCCGAGGCAATTGTATTTCCAGTTGCCACTAGACCTCCAGTCCTGAGGTTTTGATTCAGGCTTAATTTGAGGTTTTGTTCAGAGAAGAATTTCAAGTATTTTTCTAAATTTTGGAAGTCTCATTTTCTCCATTTCAGTTCTGGCACCACATACTTAAGCACTTGGGTTGATTTTTCATTGTAAGTGATGAGCAATAGGACTAGAGACAGTTAGGTCTGTTTAAGCTGGCAAAACAGCTTTTCTTTTTCCAGCAGTTTGCTGCTCCAGTGTTTTATTTCTGGTTGCTTCCATGAGATATGGCTTGCATTTGTATTTTAGAATCCAGAAGCTATACTGAAATGCATCTCGTACATTATACTGTACATAAGACAAAATTCCTTCACATGGAAAATGCATCCTTTTTCCTTCAGGTTCTTCCTTGGGTTGACCAAGACTAAGTTGGCTGTGAGCAGTGCTGTCTTTCAGGGATTGATGGGGTGCTTTCGTAAGGGGGGAGACTGCATTTTCCAAAACCATCCAACCAAAAAAACACTTTATAACCCTTGGGAGTTTTTCCATGAACTGTGGTTTTGAAACTGTTAGTATTTAACATAATGTTTTGTCCTGTAAATTATGATTTAAAGGTATAGTGTATTCGGTCTAGAGCTTTAATGACTGCAGTAAAACTTGCGGTGGGATTGCTTCCAAATGGGCTGGCCTACTTTAAAGTCCCTATTAAGTGTCAGTTTGCATTGGTCTCGTAGATTTTGATTTGGCCCAGGGCTAGCTGCTGTCAGCAGCTAATTTTTTTTGTACCCTGAATAGTCACTTAGGATAAATAAAAGTATATAGATTTTTTTTTTTAATATCAGTGTGGAACGTATTGTATAGCTAGGGAGTTGCCCAAGCTTAATGACCTACATTATTGTCTAATCTATTGCCAATACCTGCAAACTGTGGAGAGGAAGTGTTTCCGTGGTGCCTGGTGACAGTGTGAACTCGGAGGTGCTGGCGCTCAGGGCGCTGCTGCTCCACGCTCTGCTCCCGGCCCCCTGTGCACTGGGGCCCAGCGCTGCCCACCCGGTGCCACCATCACTCCTTGCTGCGGGGAAACACTCTCCTGAGGAGCCGGGGCTGCCCCTCTGCTCACCCTGTTGCGACCAGCTGTGGGCCAAGTTAGTATAACTGAGGCTGGGAACCTGGCACAACCCATATATTGCCCGCTGACCTTGCCAGTTCTTCCATCCGGACTCTGTGTATTCAGGTGCATCCTCCAAGAGAGCTGGGGGAGCCCTGGTATCTGACCAAAGCTCTCTGGTCATCTCATCCCTGCCAGCGTGGGACAGTTGGGGACGCAGCTTGTAGCTCAGCATGTAGCTCAGCGTTTGCTGGGGATGTACCCAGCAGTTCACACCGCATGTCCTGATGACCCTGCATCAGCCTTGGCTCTTTTGCCTGGTCGGGGCAGCTCTGCTGCTGGAGCAACATCTGAACTGCTTGTGAGCTTCGTGAGATGCAGGTTTGTCCTCTCCGAACGCCGCCCGCCCCGCTCCGCAGTGGGGCCACCAGCACAGGCAGGAGGGGCAGGCGGGAGCTGCGACGACCTCGTGGTAAAAAATGCAGGGCTAGACTGGGCTGGTAGAGCTTTAGTATTTTTCCACATGGACATTCTTGCTTTTGAAGTATTTTCTTGCAGTTTGAAGAGGCAGGTGGTTACTGCACGTGGCAGGTTAATCTGCATCTTATTGTCATGAAATTAATTTTTTTTGTGGGCAAATTATGCCACCAGTGCTTTCACTCTGGAGATAAATTGCAAAGGTCACTGTGATGGGTGACGGATGAGACCAAAAACTTAATTTGGTCATGAAAGTTGGTCCTGTGTCTGTAATGCAGAAGGCTGGTAAAAGGATGGTACTGTTAACAAAATGTATTTACATGCCATATTAGCAAGGAAAAGATGAGAAAAGTGAATGATAACTACTGTTTAAATACTTCTTTAAAAGAAGGTGAAAAGTAGCATCTTCAAACTTGCATAGCTAACTTTAGGCACAGAAGTAATTTGTCTGAGTTCTCAGAAGTTTCTGCTTTTCACTGATTTTAATTTAGACTATGTGCTTGAAATCCACTTTTTTAGGTGGATGGCTGTGAGTTTGGAAGACTACTGTGCGCACCCACATGAAAAAAATTTGGTCAATGTATTTCACAAAATCCTCTGCCAACAAAAGTTCTGCTCTTCCAAATGTAGTTGCCCTAAAAAAATAGGGCTTCTGAACCTCAATTGTCAGTAGTGCCAATGCAACTGCTGGGAGCCACTAGCGTTAATTTGTATCTTCATATGTGTTTGGGGAAAAAAATATAGCTAGGCTCTTTTTCAGAGGCATTCTCTAACTAATTATGTGTTGGCACATTATGAAAGAATGTGATGTTCTTTCCTAAGTGTTTCCTTTCAACTTGCACGTTGCGCAAGTGCAACAGCACTTCAAGGCCAGATGAAAAAATGAGGAGAATTTTCAGTTAAGTGGGATTTTGTATTATTATTTCTCTCTCTTCTTATAAGCTGCGAATTAACCGAACAGGATGACTCTGAAACTTCAGCCTAGGAAAGAGAACACCTACAGCTGGAATAGCATTTCCTAAGATGATGGAGTCTGTGGAAAAAGAGTAACAAAAGTCAGCGGAGGAGTTTACATGTCTTGAGTATTTAGTCATGCCACATTTACTTTTAATTACCTTTGAACAAAAGGCATTTCCTCTTCTAGCTCAACATTTAGAGATGCTGGAAAGTGCTTTTGCTGACTCAGAAACTTGAAAATTGTTTTTTCCACCCTTTGTTCCTACCTTCTTTTGGCCAGCCACTTGTGCTTGTTATTAGCAAAAACATATTTCTTTCTGCTCCCGCTAGTAGATACATGGGAATGGTACCACAAGGTGTGCAAAGTCAGTGCTCAGCTGTGCAGCGAACACAGGGTTTGGTCACCAGGCTGTGGTGTCTGGCATCTTCCAATGCGCTTTAAAGAAA